GTTCTGATTTTGAGATTTAGAGAGATGAAGCATCAAAGAAAGAGGCCCTCAGTCCCAAGCAGGGGTTGACTTGGATACACTCTTGATTGGGCTGTATTAAAACGATCAAACAACGTGGATTCCATTCATGATGAACACATACAGCAACACTGTCTCGGAACTGGAATTTTCAAATCTCCAGCTAAAATGAAATCATAATTCCAAACCAAAGTGGCATGACCAAAGAGAAACAACAAAGGTGCGTGAAACAAAGTCAAAATGAAAGAACATATCTGAAAAAAAATGTTCAAATCCAGAGCAAAACGGTCAACACATGTTTTGAGTCAAGCAAAATAATGTTTTGCTGAAAGATTCGCCAAAATCAATACAGGTCTATGAAAGAATTCAGCTTTAATAAACCAGTGTTTCTGAGCAAAACACAGATTTTTGTTTCAAAAATTCAGCCACCACTGTATATGAAGTTCATCAAGTTCAGTTTTGTTGCAGGTATGTAGAACAAAAACTCTAAGAGTTTTGATTAGTGCATTTCTGGAGTGCAATTTATTCTACAGATACTGTAGTATAAAATGCCCCATCCAAAGCCAGTTGAAGTCTGTGGCAAAATTCCCACAAACTTCAGTGAATTAGATCTAGTGAGACTGGGAAGCTGAGGGATGGAATTAAATAAATACCTATAGCTCTCTGTAAGAACTAGCTATTAACTAGGTACCCATTAAAAAGTATTTTTTTTGCTGATACAGTATTTTGTTCTTTTACAAATAAACATAAGAAAGTGTTCAGCAACAGTTGTTCTACCTTTTTAAAATTATTTTTAATTGTCAATAGGAGTCCTATATGTTAATACTTGAAAAACTTTTCCTCTGATGATGGCCCCTCCAAGCAGTTTCAAGTACTTAATCATGTGTCAAACCTGAAACTTTTTCAAGCCCCATCAGATACATGGTAAGGTACCTCTCAGAAAAAAAGAAGAACTAAAAAGTCTGGCAAAAGTCTTGGAGGGATAAGAGGAAACACACGGATAATATTTCAGAAACTCAGAGCCATGTGGTTTCTGTAAAGTGAAGAACACTTGTGATCAAAGTGAAGAAGGTTTTTTTTATTTTTTTAACAAGATTTCTAAATTTTAAATCATGTGCCATTAGTCTGGGCCACTTTTATTTTCAGAAAGTCAAGACACTTTGTACAACGTGATTTTGTAACCAGAACACTTCTGAAGTTAAAATCCTGAACTTAACTGTACTGTTAAATGCTTTCCAGGTTGGCTGTTATATTGAAACTAGTGCATATCATTTGTAAGTTGAATTTACTTCTTGGATTACTGTTTTTCATGTATTTTAGTAAATATGATCCCTTTTTAAAAGTAAGTCAAATGTTCAAAATACTGATTGAATTTTCTTTTGACTGCAACTTAAAATTAATATTTTGATATTTTCCACCAGAGACACTTTTATTCACAGGATAGGAGTGAAGACTCTAAGCAAGGATGAAGAAAGAGATATCCCCTTTTTTAATATACAATTTGTCTTTGTAATGACTTCAAACAAATGCCTGCCTTGCCACACACCTATGACTTCGGTGTATATGTAAATTCAAGCATTGGACTCATCCTTTCTTTGGACTCATCCACATCTGCGAGGCACGTGTTTTGGTGGCCTTATTCAGGGGGTACTACTCAGCATGGTAAAAGTGGCAGATGTAGGTCCTTCATCATTGCCATGTCACTTCAGACTAAATGTGCAACTTGTGGCCATAACCCTCGAAGCTGAGTCAACGGGGACTTCACTAGCCTTCACACAGGAGGCAGAGAAAACTTTATGGGGATGCTGTAAATAACCTGAAATCGCTGCGTGAACATCTGTGCTGCAGACTTTCGGCACTGGTGCTACCTGGGTAGCTGGCTTGTTCCTGCCATGTTCACAGAGGCACTCTGAGTTTTTCCCTTTAGCTGACTAAGATCTCATAAATGCATGTAACGGCTTCCCTGTTTTCTTCTTTGTCAGCAACAGAAGATTTTTGCTGGTGTGACTGGATACTGAGGCAAGAAGGAAAACATAACAATGTAATGTGAGACACCTAATGAGCACAGTAAGAATTTGGAGTGCATTGGAGTTACATGGAAAGAGTCAAGACGTGGGGGAGGATTGTTTTGTTGTCTGACACTGTGTAAAAGCTTCATACTGAGCTAAAAGCAGGCAGAGGTTGGGGACAGTGGACTTTATGTGATGCGCTGAAACTTTGAAACAGAGATAATGAGAAGAAACTTCCAGACAGAAGATGATTTGAGACAAGGACTTAAATCCTGCTATACTGTAGAAGCATTTTTTCTTTCTCTCCCTATTACTGCCCCAAAGAAAGGACTAGCTCCAGGGCTCCAAGAGGAGAGAGTGACTCACTCCACAGCCGCTGGTTCAGGCAGCTGCTTGAGCTGCGAAAGACCAAGATGCTCGCAGCGAGTACTCATTACTCACCACTTGCATAAATCTTTTAGAAAAGCAATGAAGAGTTACAGCTGGTTCCTGTGAGTTCCCAAGAACCTTCTGAGAAGGAGAGAGAGCTTTCAGTAATTTCTGAAATTTGTGGCAGGCAGGCATCCTGCAGGAGTCATCTAGCTAGTAATGTTCAATTAATTCTGATTGCAATTAAAATTGCTAGAAAGCAACCCACTGTCTACCAAATTGTGTTGGTTTTGTTTAGTCTTTTTTTCTTCTTCTAAGAGTCAATAGTTACAGACTGTCTACTTCCTGGATTGCAAACTGATGAAATATTTATTCTCCATGTATCAAGGGCAAGAGTTTGCAGAAAAAGCAGTTATACAGAAGGCAACAACCCAATACTTATCAAGAATGTTTTTAGAACAAATGGTATGTCACTAGACTTTGTTACCTAAAACTTCCGGAAGGAACATTGAGAAGGTAGATGTTTGAAAGGAGCAAAATTCACACAAACAAACAGAAAGTTGAAATTTGTCCTAACTAAAGACTAGTTACAGGCAAAAGACTATTACAGGCAAAACATCCAGTCGCTACTTCAGTCTTTTAGCGGGACTGATGAATTTCATCCCCGTTAAAAGACAATTTGACCCACGACACTAAAAACTGATCATAAACAATTTGGGGGAGGAACAGAAGGAGTGATATGACAAAACTCTGCTCTGCAGATTATAGCACGCACTCCTGAACTTAACTGGTCTTTATTCCTGTAAGCAGTTCCCTTGAAGTCCAGTAGGACTACTTCCACATGCAAAGCTTTGGAACATATTACTTACATGCAATAAAGGAAAAAAACCTGAAACCAACAATCCTATGTTAAAACATCACAGAGAAGAGTGTCTGAGGACGGCCAGACTGTAATTTTACACCAGATGTTGAGACTTGTTTTCAAGCAGTTAGGTTTGTTCATAAATGAGCCTTCAATGCCTGAGTTGGAAAGATCTGCAGCTGCAGTTGTTTTATCATCCACAAAAATGGGGACAGTACAGGGTGCACATTTCAGGCCGTTCTGACTTACGGTCACAGGACTGAGTCCAAAAAACCTAGCTACTCATAGCTAAAGACCAAGTTCTGAGCTTTTAACTCAACAATAGTAGCCTTTACACATTAACGTCAATTGTATTATTTGCAGCTACAGGAACTTCCTTGAACAGAGAGGCCTGCAAAAAAAACTGGTGAGAAGTCCAACCTCCCTATGCTGGTGAGGATGCTGCAAGTCTCGGGGAAGCAGGATATTCAGCTGGGAAGAAGCACTCTGATCTCTTAGATGTGATGCACCTTCCAAAAGTATCAGTGTTCTCTGAGTCCAAAAAAGACTCCTGTGATGCAGGGGATCTTAAAGAATAGAAGTAAGGTGATAGCATCTTCTCTTAACAGACACAGATAGCTGGTCTGTGGTATTTGAAAGGGCTCACATCATGAGATGAATGGATGGGTGTAGGAAAAGAACAAGTAGTCATCACTAATGACAGAGAGAAGTGTAGGAGGGTAGTTCTGGAGGAGGCCAGGCAGATGAGACCAGGACCTCCGTGGTGGTGGTCTATGAAGCACTGCTAGTTCCAGGAAGGCCTGGGAGACAGTCAGGGATCTGGAACTGATGCACAGGTGAGATGATATAAGGAAGAGAAACTCAGGTACACTAGAAGCTGGTGAACCTTTGGGACAAAAGGAATCTATGCAAGGATAGGCTGCACCATAATAACAGCAGAGTAAGGCTGCTGGCAGTGAAGATCAAAGAGATTACAGAGGAATATTTAACCCCAAAGACAAAGGAAAGCTGACAGGTGTAGAGAATATCTGGTTTAGATTGATGCAGTCTACCAGGTGAATGCAGCAGATTCTTGATGTGCCTCTGAAAATACCAGGAGGGAAAGAAGCAGCAGAACAGCAATTTAGATCATCCATATTACCAGCTGACTGGCAAATGAAACACCGAGCGAGTGGGAGGAGAACTTACAACTGCTTTAGAAGCTTAAAAAATACAATGAGACAAAATGCCTGAAATTCAGAGATAGCCCCCAAATTACCAGCATCTCAGAGACCTGAAAATGGCCAAGCTTTTATGCAGTCTGTAAACAGTCTCTCCTATTGCCCACATTGGAGACAGAATATCAAGTTAAATGACAATCTTTCACCTGGTCAAGCAGGATGTTTCTTCTGTTCTTATGCTTGTTGACATGACACAAAGATACCAGGGTGCACTCAGGCACCAGAATATGTTGCATCCGCAGATTCAGGGTGACTGTAGGTACGGTATGTCACTCTCTGTAATAACACTACTCAGGCTGAAATCTTACCTTAAAACTTTGCCTATCTTTATCTGCCAATATTACTTTAAGACATTTGTTTTAGTTCAGCTTTTCTCTCTTTTTTTGTAAAGCCATAGTGATAAAACAATTATTTAAAAACTTATGCGTGCCACAAGAACTGAAAAAAATACATATTAAAGAAAACACATTTCAGGGTTAGCATGGTGAGCATACTGAAAATTGTAACTGAAAAAAAGCTTACGTTCATAGCAGTAGGCATCAAACTTGCTATCTGGGTAAGGAAAGCCTGTTTGGTTCTCATAGCGATACAGGGTTCTCACCCCAAGTAAACCTCCACCACACTGGGGTCTTGCCACTGAGGCTGGGTAACGAACGCTGCCATCTGCCAGCCAGCCATAGTCACACTGGTCAAAGCCATTCCTCCAGGCGACATACAGGTTCCCAACAGAAGCAAGAACGCCATCTCTTTTCCGACACAGCTCTCTAGCTTCCTCAAAGGTGAACTTCTCAGGGGCTGAGACATGAACCACTTCATCTAGAGGAAGAAAGCAAAGATAACAAAGACTGAGTATCACATTCCATCATCAAGTCAGCTTAGCTCCCCTCTTCCAGTCAGTGTCCTGCAAGACTGGGGTTTTTTTCCAAAATTTGTTTGAATAGTTTTTTTCTTAAGAAAATCAGATAGTTAGAAAATCAAATATCTTGTATTTGAATACGAAAATGAACCTACCACAAAGCATTAGCTTTTATATTCAAACATTATACCATGAAGTACACTGTAGTTGGAGATTGAGTACCTCCCTCAGTCTCTAAGCAGAAGTAACAGCAGCCTTGAAGGTCCTCTGTGACCTCTGTTGGAGTAGACTTCGCAACTCAACTGCACTAATTAAATCCAGTCCAACAGAATTTACTTTCTCAGTAAAACAAATCTTTTACATCTGCAAGCCTCTTACCTGACCTTTTTAGTCATCACTAGAATCTCACTTGAGACACATAAAAAAAAACAAACGTTCTTCACGGCTGCTCCACAGCAGCTTCTAATGTCATATTTCCATCAGTCCTAATCTTGCCCCATGGGGAAACAGGTGAGGGAATGCACTAGACATATTGCATGCACAAAGCCCTTTTTGTGTGAAAAATGCTGAATTACTCTAGTATGCTGGTATTATAGTTTAGCTTCTACAGAATAACAATTTGTAAATAATAGTTGTCCAGTTGGAAACTGAAATAAAACAAATAGCACATCTAACATTTTATTTCCAAGCTAAATCGTCATTATGCAGTTGGCTTGGTTGCCTCATTCAACCGAACACTATAAACAAATTCAATGCTTTAATGTTCATGTCCTGGGAGTGAAACAGTAAACTTAACTCCTTTCTAATTTTTGCTCAGACTTCAGATGGAATTGATGAGACGTAAAATCAGCATATTCAGCTGTAGAAAACACTGCAAATTCAAAATATTTGTTACAAGAGAGTAATCCTCTTCCTCAACTACAGTAGGCCAGAACACAACAGTCATGTTGCAGGAAAGCACTGCTTATTCATATTGGACATGCAATCTGTCTTACCACTGCAGTTGTCTCAAGGCAACCTAGCAAAAGGCAGACAGAAACTACATCACCCCAAGCAGTTTCATTCACATCAATATTACGCTTGTTTCAGGCTTGAAAGGAATGCAAGTGTGAAAGGAGGCAATGTGCCAATTTTCTTTTTCCTCCTAGGTAGAAACTCTTGATTTGTTTTTACAGCTGTAATATCAATTCCGTAGTGTAAGTTTCTTTATGCACGTTCAGGGAGTTTCTAACTTAGAGGTAAAGGGACAGAGCATGTCTATTGGAGAGGGAGAAACAAGGAAAGCAAAGAATCATTCATCCTCAGAAGTACCAGAATGCTTCATTCAGCTCTTCAGACCACACAGATACTGCACATTTTATTAAACACTTCTGCAAAAGACAGCTTTTTTCTGCATCAAGAGGCAGCTCTGGTATCACGGCCAATACAGAATGATACACACAACTATGCCACCATACTGTCCCAACAGCAGTATAATGAAACAATGGAGCAAAGAAAGACTTCTCCAGAGCAGCCCCCTTTGTTCTGAGGACTATTCACTTATCCTCTCACACAGCAGCCATGAGGTATATGAAAATTAGTAGTTAAAATTATTGCAATTAAATAGCAGATATTGGTCTGGTTAGACAAGAAAATGAGACAAGTAAGAAAACCAATGGATTTTAATGGTTTCTAGAAACAACTATGATGGATCAAAAGCTAAATAATGTCAAACAATCCCACAGCATTCCTTTTGGGAGAAACTTATTGAATACACAGGAAAATAGGTAAACAGTGCAAGATTAATAGCAAAGCAATTTTTCCATCAACTGATCCGCATCACTGCCTCCAAATGGAGCTTGTGTGTAACATAATTAAAGTTAGGAGTATTTATTCCTCTGAGCTGTCATCTGCACTCTGCTAACGCAAAGAAACTTAGTGAACAGTTATGTCTTGCTATAAGACTTCAATATGCAGGGTTCAATCAGTACTTATATAAGAGATGTCGCTTTGCAGAGAATGTACTCATCCAAGTTGCACAAGAACATTTCTATATGGATATCTGCCTTAAATTTGCCTTGGACTATGCCCGTATATGCAATATTGATAACACTGCACAATTAAAAGATGGATTGCATATCTTTTTTTTTTAATTGAATCTGTTCTACTGACCCCACACCTACTTATTTGGTTCATCTCTTATAGTCAGCTGCTGTCATACAGATACCATCTTTGTTAAAGGGCATGTTTCCAGAAAAAGTAAATAATAAAAAAATCCATGTGTTTAAGGATAAATGCATCCATCCTAACCAGAATACTCCAATCAGTGAAGTCCAAAGACACATTCTTTGCCACCTATTTGGTATATTAAAGTATTTGTGATGATAAATTCACAAAGAATGTAAAAAGGTGCCAGAGCAATCAGCAAAATGCCCTTATTGTGATTCATCATCACATCATATACCAAGTAAATACTCATTTATTCCAGGAATGCTAGTGATAAGATAAAGGGTACAAATATGTTAAAACATGGCAGCTTGCAATTGCTCTAGTTAAAGAGTGTTTTTCTATGATTCCAGAATTCTTATTTAAAAAAAAAATCCAGTAAAGTTCAAAAGTCAGTTCCAAATAGCAGTCGTATACTGTAGGAGATATGACTCTGCAATTTGCCTGTCCAGTTTGAAAATAAATTAAAATTCTGTATGACTGATTGTGTACTTAATGTGCATAATAGTTGGGATGAAATGTGAAAATCAAAGCAAAAATTTAATGAAGGCCTTCCTTGCTATATAAATCCAGAAACAGTTAAAAGTTGTCCTGCAATCTTCTAAAACCATCTCACAAAAAAAAAAAAAAAAAAAAAAAAAGAGAGAGAGAAAGGTTTATGTTTTCTGTTCAGCAATTGGGAAGAAAGCAATGCTCAAAACACTTCTTCAACTGAGTGGCATCAGTTTGATATACAGCAGCTCTAAATTATGTGATGAGAAAGTCAGCACAATCTTTCCTGCACTTCTCACCAGGAGCGGACTGAGGGCATGTATACACTTCATGCACAGCAGACTTAGCATTTCAGGGATATGGTGACCCATACAGCACAGAGACAACTGATCAGGTCCTACTGTTGGTGTGCAGTAAACACAATCACTTGGAATGTGCAGGGATGACATTTTGCTATCCTTGTCACATCTCTGACATAATTAGTGCTGAGACACGTGCTCACCATCAGTCTCCTTGGTCAGAAAGAGATGGCTACCAAACTATTGATGTTTTGGGTGCATATTCTGGAAGCGCTACTTAATAATCCTCCACTTTTTTATCCTCACAGAAATGTGGAAATTCGGTTTATTGTATGTGAAAAGAGAGCTGGTCCAACTTCACTGTCAACATGGCTTTTTCTCTCATAGTGAGAACTTGAGTTGGAAACCACATTGTTCCCCAGTCAGCCTACACAAAAGCTGGGAAATAGAGCAGGAAACACAGAAGAAGGCATGTGAAGAAAGGTGCTGATCGCTGAAGGAAGAAGAGCAAGAAGCTCTAGGAACTTCTTCTGGCCCTCGGGGAAAAATTGTACAATGGAACTCAGGTTCTGCTGAGCTCTTTCATGGACTCAGCCTCAAAACTGACAGAGGCTGTCAAGAGGCCATGGATAAAAGACTTGTGCTCCAACCCTGACTTCCAGTGCATCAGTCAATGTAGCTAAAACATCCTGATTCCTTCAAAGTACCAAAGAGAAAAGGATTTGACCCTTGCACAGAAACTTCCTCTAAAAAGAAAAAAAGTTAATGGTGAAGCTAATAAAATTTATTTAATCCATGCAGTCTCTAAAATTAACTCCTGGTTTTGGAAACACAATGGGTTCTGTATTTAACACGAGGATTCATCCTGTCACACTCTTACAGTATCTTTATTATGATGTCTGAAAGCACCTCAATTTCCCAGCCAAAATACTGGAAACAAGGAAATTAAGAGAAAACTTGTCTGGTCGATAAACAAATGACATAGCCACCAACACCAGCAGGGCAGATTCAGTTTTTGTGTGTGTTAAAAGCCATGTGCAATGTTTTTATAGCTGGAGTACGCTCCGAGTAACTTAGCAATATTATGCACACAAACCCCAGGGCTTACACCAGCAAATGAAGAGAACCTAGTCCTGTAGTACCTTTAGACTGCAGCCAATAATGTAATGTATATTATTGCTGGCTCCTGTTTAAAACCAAGATTCAGGTCGATCGTGCAGCCTCAGCGGTCAGAGCACTTGAAGTATCCCCAGGATTTTCCTGTTATATGTACTTGTTTTGCTTGGTTAAAACAGACACCTGATGAAAGTAATGCTTTTTCCCTCTCTTTCAAATATATCAAGCTCGATGAAGAAGCCAGGTTTTTCTCTTGAAGACAAAAGCTGATTCACTACAAGCCCCAAGGAAAAAGTTTAAGATCTACAGAATTATCAGCTGGTTTTACAGCAAGCTTCATTCCTTTGAAGGTTAATTCATTTATTCTCTCTCATCAGGAGACGTCTCATTGAGCTGGGCATGTTTGTAGATGAGAATTTCATGAATCACACATCTTAAAAGCAAGCACAGAAACAAGGGCAGGCTAGAACCATAGCCGGGGGTCAATACACAACATGTATTGACTAGGGTAAAAGTAATGAATCTAGATCTAAGCCCTCCAGCACAGACCTTACCAGTAATTTCTTTTTCCATAGATGAAACCACAATTAAGGGATTGGTGGGCTGCTACTTCCTAGAGGAGATCTTTGAGCCTGACTATGTGGCACTCTTCTCCCAGAGCAGAGCACCATCTGCTCAACTTCTATACCACCGCCCACTGTGCCACACACAACAAAACGAACTACGAGTCACTTGCATCTGGCAGATAAAGACATCACATGCAAGTCCATGATAAAAGTTTTGCAGATGTCTGAAGGATTCTGTCAAACTGCAGAACTTAAGAGGTAACCTGTGAGTCTCCAATTAAT